GACAGACCTGAAATCAAATCCCACAGTATGGGACCATGTGTCAATGCTGTATGCCAAATATCAAGAGGCTGTGATAAGTAGTTGCTGAGAAAACTGTTTCGAAAATTTCCTACCATTGACCATTAATGTCGAAAAATCTAACTAATTAAATAAGTGGATAAACAGGAAGTGGATGAGCGACAGAACTGAAATCAAATCCCACAGTATGGGACCATGTGTCAATGCTGTATGCCAAATATCAAGAGGCTGTGATAAGTAGTTGCTGTAAAAACTGTTACGAAAATTTCCTACCATTAATGTCGAAAAATATAACTAATTTAACTAAGGCCAAAATTAAAAATAGCTTTGTTTGCTGTCTCCCGACCGACCCTAAAAAAACGCTGCGCTCCGAAAAATTTTATTTGCTCTCGCCGACCTTTTTTTTTTTTTTTTTTTTTTTTTTTTTTTTGGTGCCGCATATTTTTACTGATATCCGTTCAATAACGGTGTGTAGTATTCTGGTTCCCGCGTATTATTAGTCACGTGTATCGACTATCAAGTACCGCTTGGTAAAAGTCAATTGTGTACACTTCCGTTACAATTTTGCAAAACGAAAGTTAGAAGATCTTCAAGAAGACGAGTATTTTATCATCTCGTCAACATTTATTATTACGTTTATTCAACTTTGTTGAAAAATAACCTCCATGAGAATGAATTGGTCTGAGCATGGGCCGATTTGTTGAATGACGTCGAGGATTTTTACCCGAAAAAAATCGGACGTTCTTACGGTATGCTTAAATACTGGTTTGGGTTAAAAACTTACTGATTGCTCATGTAATCGACTTAAAATAAAGTTTTTGTAAATAAATAGTTTCTTGTATGCATTCATTCATTTATAAGTACAAGTATTTATTAAATAATCATTTTCTTCAACCAGCAAATGCACTTATCTTATTGTTTTTAGTACCACCTGTCTTAGTACTTGAGCAGTGTTGAACAATTTCAGCACTCATTTATCACATTTTCTCATTATTGCAGGGCTTTGAGAATAGTCTTCTAGTGGCTCAAAATGCAAGGCACTGAATGCGGATAAACCAAGGTGTATTTACTCCAAGAATAAATTGACAGGGAAACATGATCTCTAAAACACAACCTTGAGAAATTTGATTACAGCTGTGTTTCAGTCATTACAGTTTATGGTTAGTATTGGTATTGCATATTGTTGTGCTTATTTTCTTGAAATAGTGATGTCAAAATGTTTTTACATAATCAACTGAAAGTAGAAACCTGATTTTATTCTTTCTTACATATTTCCCATGGTGTTTGTATAATTAAAAATGTTAAAATAATTGCATTTTTGGCAAAATCTGTATTGCATTAAGTCTAGCCTTCTGTCTGTTTTCATAGGAGATGCTCTGCAAGGGTGTTTGTATGACTGCAGATGTCATGCCAATCTCACATGGAGTTCCCTTACTGTGCCTCCAACATTGGACGACCAGATATTTGTGCCCATTGTGATGAGCCAGAAGCACAGAGAAATCCAGAACTGTTAACAAAGTTTAGGATTGTACTTCCAGTTTATGAGCAATGCATCAATGTCCACAATAAAGACATTCCCCATAGATGTCCTATAAAAAATGAATACTGTGAACCTAAATTTTGTTGGTATACTGTGGCTTAACTGTTTAATTGTCTGAAGTTGCATAGTGTTTGAAGTTGGTTTTCTGGTTGTGTTACTAACTATTCATTTCAGTGAAAATAAAATGTAAGCAAACTTTAAACTGTTGATGTATAATGATGCCTTTTGTTGTTCAGTAGTTATTTTGCATAATATATTTGAGTATATTTGTGTGTTTTAGTCATCCTCTCACATGTTGGGTAAATGTTCGAAATTTTGCTTTTGTTACATGTATTTTTATGAAAAAGAACTATACTTCTTGTATTGACTAATTGAAAGATATACAAACTGAAATCAAAAGTAAGATATATCAATTTTAAAAATTTTTATTCGCATTTTATTAAACCGTTTTTTCCAACAAACAGAATCAAACCAAAAACATTTATGTATTTCCAAAAAAAAACAAAAAAAAAAAACCCTACCTACCTACCAAACTCTAAAAAGTAGGGTCGGGAGACAGCAAACAAAGACTATTTTAAATGTGGCCAAAGTGGATAAATAGGAAGTGGATGAGCGACAGACCTGAAATCCAATCCCACGGTATGGGACCATGTGTCAATGTTGTATGCCAAATATCAAGAGGCTGTGATAAGTAGTTGCTGAAAAAACTGTTACGAAAATATTTTCCCCGCCCGCCGCCCGACATTTACCATACTATAACCCAGATTTGCACCAGTGCAATCCGGCCAAAAAAGGAGCCACAACTGTGTAAAAAAGATTTTGCTATTTTTAGCTCCTGTGACGTAGTTTTTCATGCGACATGACCCATGTTCAAACTCATCTGAGCAATAACCTAGACAAGCATCCTGACTAAGTTTGATGACAATTGAGTCAAAAATGTGACCACTAGAATGTTTACAAGGTTTTTCCATATTTGGGCAGTGTGACCTAATTTTTGACCCAAGGTGACCCATATTTGAACTTGACCAAGAAAACATCAAAACAAACTTTCAGACCAATTTACAGGATATTTGGATCGAAACAGTACCCACTAGAGTGTTAACAAGATTTTTTTCTATTTTTAGCTCCTGTGACCTAGTTTTTCATCCGAGATGACCAATGTTCGAATTAATCAAAGCAATAACCTAGGCAAGCATCCTGACCAAGTGTGATGACAATTAAGTAAAAAATCTGACAACTAGAGTGTTAACCAGATATTTTTATTTTTAGCTCCTGCGACCTACTTTTTCATCTGAGAGGATCCATGTTTGAACTCATTTGAGCAATTACCTAGACAAGCATTCTGACCAAGTTTGATGAACAATTGTAAGTTTCAATTGAATATCTCAAGCAATAATTGAGATATTTGACTTTACAAAAAAAACTTGAACCAACGCAAATGCCAAGGCGACTGCAATGGCTCTCCATATTCTTCAAATAGTCAAGCTAAAACTAGCGTAACTCAAAATGCAAGTGCGTGCAGACGTTCAAGTTGTTTGTAAACACGATGACACGGATGAGCAATTATGCAAATTTCTTGAAATATTGTGGTTTGTGTATCTGGCGCTTGACAAGAAACTTTTGATAATCTGTGACATGTGTCAGCTTTAAAAAATTTAACAGCAAATTGCCAGGCCGTTTCACCTCGCTGACCGCTTAAGATGGCCAAGTTTATGATTCGGGAAGCATTTTAGGTGACCATTGACAGCAGGTGACTATTGAACAGATGTATAAAATAGTGAGATTTTTGTTGGTTGCGCTCTGCACAAAGTTTCATAATCATTATGGTCATTATTTCTGCCGAGTAGTTTGAATTTCCTTCCACTGGTTCAAAAGATACAGACCAGACACAAAAAAGCCTATATAAGTGTATATAAATTAATTAATCCCCAGGGTGGGGCCATTTTTAATCGTAAGAAGTCCAAACTTGTGTTCTGCACAGGGTCTCAATATAAGTAATATTTCTGCCAAAAAGTTTTAATTTCTTTCTTTCGGTTTAAAAGATACAGAACAGATATAAAATTTTGATATGGAAACAATATGATTAAGTGTGCACATCGCCTCATTATGGTTAACATTTCATGTTTAAAAATCTCAATCGGTAATTTTGCACCGATAAAACTTATCTTTCCCCAATAGCAGTTGATAGGTGGAAAACAGGTGACCAATAGGTGATATCAGTGTTAAATACGTTGTCATCGGTTCACAAAAACTACGGATCAAACCCCATCCAAAAGATACATCAGGGGGTTGCCAGAAGGGGGATGTGCCCCCTTCTGTTTGGGGGGTTTGAAGGGGGGCAGAGTCCCCCTCATCGCCAAGAAAATTTTGGACTTGTGAGAGGCTAAAAATGACCCCAGGTCGATCATAAGGTAACGTGTAACAAACGCTGAAAAGCCTTTGACTCTATCTCAATCCCTTGAGAAGTTGCAGCACTTTGAAATAAATTTTGATGGAAAAAATCGGGGCAAAATAGTGATTTTTGGCAATTTTGAGATGTCCCCTCGTTGCCACGGTAACAGGAAATTTAAGACTGAGTATGTCGTTACAAAGGCAATGGTCCAGTCAACATTTGTGCCAAGTTTGATTAGTATTGAAGCATTTTTCATAGTTTCATAGCAGTTTGAACTTGTAACAGGAGGCTTTTCAGTGAAAACTGCCATTTTTCACAATATGCTCATGGGGGAAAGGGTTAATGCAAGTGTACCACAAGACTTAGAAATTTGTACTGTTACAGGGTAACAGTATTTTTTTAACACTGTGTGGTATATTTTCTACAGAAATTAAATAAAAATGGCTGCCATTTTTTTTCTCCATTCAGTCTCAGTTTGATTAAGATCATCACAGTTATTGTTTTGGGCAATGACATAAACAACACATGGCTTTGTAAGTAACAGGTGAATATCATCCCTTGTGAAAACATTGTAACCCATGGCAAACGCCTCGAGTAACAATATTTTCTTAGGGATGATATTTTTACCGTTACCAACAAACTATATACTAGCATCAAAGCTGTTTCAATTTTATAATGACTTATTTTTGATTGCTACCCTAATTTTTTAGCGGAACTTTAATCAAAAATAGGATTCACAAAAGTAATTTTAGGGCCGATTTGACTTGTTTTGAGGCCGATTTGACTAATTTTGGGGTCAATTTGACATTTTAAAAATGTTTAGAGGTCGATTTGTCTTATTTTGGGGCTGGTTTAACTTGAGGCTAATCTGACTTGAGGCCCGACTTGTTGGGGTTTTTTTGCATTTATTTTAAACTTTGCACATGAGAATTCACCAAAAGCCACCATTTAATCTGTAGATAAAATTTAGATACATGATAAGGTTCCCCAGACTACCATTGCTTGCAGTCTTTTAAAAACATGGGGGACCTCCCTTCTCTTTCAAAAACATTAGCCCCCTCCCCTTCCTACGGGCCTGTATATTGAATATAAAGATGACTTACTTCTTCTAAGAGCTATATCTGGAGAGCCTATAACTGAACTTTTACCACTCTTCTTGTCTGATACAACCAAACAGTAATCAACACTCGAATTGTCTTCCTTCTGTAAAATATTTTCACAGGATAAATTTTTTTTTAATTATCAATGAGTAGGTTTTTTATTTATGTCATCCCAATCATGAAATCAGCCAACATCTATGTTAGTTTTATTAAACTGTTACAAGATTACAAGATAGTTAACAAGAGCCACTTACAAGCCTGACACACACTCTACTTTTTTATATTTCTAAAGAAAAACACTTCATGTGGGGGAGAAAACTAAAGAAAATAACACTCTTAGAAAGCATTATTTTCTTGCACAAAATATAATACAAATTTCATATCTGACACTGACTGTCAATGTCATTCAAAAGTCAGGTCACATTATTTTCAGTTTTAATATAAATCAGTGTTTCCGCTACTCTGCGTTTCTTGCGTTTGACACAATAATTTCACGAATAATGCATTGAAATTTGCAAAGCACGTTTTGTGTGACGCAGCCATAATCTACTATAATTGGATGTCTTTTCATTAAGTTATTTCTCCTATTATAAGCTACATCCCGTTTAAATCGGCAATTATTGTTTGAGTATCTGAAATTTATTTATTTCCGGTGACTGCATGTTTGTATGAATTGCTAACCTATTCTGTGTCATTATCGGCACATTTTCTTTCCGACTTTTAACCATTCATCAATCAGTCAAAGAATCCTGGATTTAAACGTAAACAAGCAATTGTGCATGCAGACACTTTTTTCACAATAGTAAACCCACTACGAAAGAAGGTAGTAGTCAAAATATCAAATTTTCTGCTATAAACAGATGTCTGACAGGTTAAATGTTTTAATGCAAACTAGAACTATCACTTAATGTGATTAATACCCCCCCCCCCCCAATCCCCCCCAAGACTGCTTTGGACATGTGGAAGTTACTAGTAACAGAATATCTTGCAAAAGAATTGATCTAGAGTTATGATTGTGGGCAATTGAAGATAGTTGTGCATTTCGTTTCAATGTGGTTGACCATTGATGAAGTTTTATTGAATTAATCTGTAATAAGTGCTTCTTGAGCACTGCACTTCCTCTAATTGCGCTTGACCATTGTATGAAGGTTGCATTGAATTCTAAACATTAGTTTTTAAGTTATGCACCAGACAAGGAAAAGGAACAAGGGCAGTAACTCTACTGAAGATGGAGTTATGGTTCACTGCACTTCCTCTCATTGTGCTTGACCATTGTATGAACTTTATTAATTCCAACGACTAGTTTTCAAGTTACGGACAAAAAAGTAACAAAGGGCAATAACTCTATAATTACTCTTCAGATACGAAAACCATCAGGCAAAATATTTCTTATTTTAGCACTGGTGACCTTGACCCAACTGACCCCTAACTCCATTCAAAGGAAGAAGTTTTTTCAATTTAATGTTCCTAACAAATATAAAAGAAATCAGTCCATAGAACAAGGTTACACTTGTAAAAGTGTAAAAATCTACTACTGACATTGGTGACCTTAACCTTAATGACCCATAACTGAGCCCCAAGGAAGAGGACACACTAAGGCATGTCTCTATTAAACACAAAAGACTTCCGTTTAAAAATAAAGGCTGTGCAAGCAAAAACATTTTCAATTTATGTTTTATACCAGTGACCTTGACCCCAGTGACCACTTACTCTGCAAAAAGTAAAAGGACCATTGAAAGTATCCACCTACCAAATATAAAAGATATCATTAAATAAATTAGGAGAAATTTAAGAGTAATCCAACTTGCCAGAATAGGTTAACCATACAAGGCCCTATTTTCATAGTGATAAAAAGGAAATAACTAGGAAAAATGGATGGCACAGTAATATAACTTGGAAATATCATGTACAATATAACTTGGCAATATCGTGTACTTTGTATTGATAAGTGTGGAAATTTTGAAGCAGTAAGAATAAATAGAACTTAGAAAGATATATCCAACTTGCCAGTTTAGGTTAATCACATCATTTTTTAGTGCTGATAATGGCAATAACTTGGAAACAAGAGGGCCATGATGGCATTGAGGTCGCTCACCTGTATATAGGCCCCCCGCCCCGGGCCAATTTTTACCCAAGGGCTTTTATTTGTTTATTTGAACAGACTTGGTAGACACCCATAAGAAGATGTTTCATGCTAAACATCTAAGTTCTAGCTCATTGGCATTTTTAAAAGAAGATTTTTAAAGTTTATACTATACACATATAGTTAAAAACAATGTCACCCCTTGGGCAGGGCCAGTTTTGACCCCCGGGCGTTTATTTTAACAAACTTTGTAGATATTTACTTAAAGATGTTTCATGCTTAATATCTAAACTCTAGCTATTTGGGTTTTTCCAAAGAAGATTTTCAAGTTTTTGCTATACACATATAAGGAAAATCAATGACCCCCGGGGCAGGGCCAGTTTTGACCCCAGGGCTTTTATTTGAACATACTTGGTAGACACCCATTAGAACATGTTTCATGCCAAATATCTTAGCTCTAGCTCTTTGAGTTCTTTAAAAGAAGATTTTTTAAGTTTTTACTTATATGCATATAGGGAAAATCAATGACCCCCTGGGGCGGGGCCAATTTTGACTCCAGAGCTTTTATTTGAACAAACTTGGTAGACATTCACTAGAAGATGTTTCATGCCAAATATCTAAGCTCTAGCTCTTATCGTTCTTTAAAAGAAGATTTTTTAAGTTTTTACCATATGCATATAGGGAAAATCAATGACCCCAGGGGCGGGGCCAATTTTGACCCCAGGGCTTTAATTTGAACAAACTTGGTAGACACTCCATAGAAGATGTTTCATGCTTAATATCTTAGCTCTAGCTCTTTGGGTTCTTTAAAAGAAATTTTTTTTAAGTTTTTACTATATGCATATAGGGAAAATCTATGACCCCCTGGGGCGGGGTCAATTTTGACCCCAGGGCTTTTATTTGAACAAACTTGGTAGACATTCACTAGAAGATGTTTCATGCCAAATATCTAAGCTCTAGCTCTTATGGTTCTTTAAAAGAAGATTTTTCAAGTTTTTACTATATGCATATAGGGAAAATCAATGACCCCCGGGGCGGGGCCAATTTTGACCCCAGGGCTTTAATTTGAACAAACTGGGAGACACTCACTAGAAGATGTTTCATGCTTAATATCTTAGCTCTAGCTCTTTGGGTTCTTTAAAAGAAGATTTTTTAAAGTTTTTACTATATGCATATAGGGAAAATCAATGACCCCCTGGGTCGGGGCCAATTTTGACACCAGGGCTTTTATTTGAACAAACTTGGTAGACATTCACTAGAAGATGTTTCATGCCAAATATCTAAGCTCTAGCTCTTTGGGTTCTTTAAAAGAAGATTTTTTAAGTTTTTACTATATGCATATAGGAAAATCAATGACCCCCAGGGGCGGGGCCAATTTTGACCCAAGGGCTTTTATTTGAACAAACTTGGTAGACACTCACTAGAAGATGTTTCATGCCAAATATCTAAGCTCTAGCTCTTATGGTTTTTTAAAAGAAGATATTTAAAGTTTTTTCTTTTGGTTGCCATGGCAACCAGAGTTCTGCATGGAATTAAATTCTTTGAACAATTTTTAAAGGTGACCACCAAAGGAACATTCCTGTGAAGTTTGGATGAAATTGGCTCAGTGGTTTATGAGGAGATGTCATTTAAAGCAAAAGTTTACAGACGGACGGACGACGGACGGACGGACGCCGGACGAAAAGCGATCACAAAAGCTCACCCTGTCACTTTGTGACAGGTGAGCTAAAATTGGAAGCCATAGTTATGTCACTTACCCAGATCATTTACTTTGTATTGTAAATTATGAAGCCATTGGTACAGGTAGAAATTAAGAAAAATACAACTTGCAGTTTAAGATTAACCTAGTACGGACAGACAGACAGACAGACAGTTCAATAACTATATGCCAGGGGGCATAAAAGTTATGATTAATGTTTTTTTTCCTGACAGAAATGGCAATGGCATAGGCAATGGCAAAAGCAACACCAACATGACTGTAAAAACAGTCTGAAGGACAGCTAAATCCCCTTCCGCAGTGAACATAAATTTGTACTTCTCCACCTTTTCCCAAATTAGACCTTGATGTTGTGTCATGCATATCATAAGCACATAGTCTCACAATGTTGATTATTTGTGCCAAGCTACTTATAGTTCCATAAAGTCAAAAAATTAACCTTGGGTGTAGCAACCTGGATGTTGAGCCCTGCAGATTGTGTCATGGTGGGGATCACTTGTGCCAAGTAATTTTAAAACCTTTAAATTGTCAATAAGTTATAGAGCTGATAGATGTTTTTACATTGGACCTTTGAGTGTGACACTGACCTTCAGGGTTCTGACTTGATTATTGTGCTCTGCCAATTGTGTCATAATGGTGATCATTTCTGCCAAGTTAGCATAAAAACATTGCAGCGGTTTAAATGTTATGGACAGACACAAAATGTAGACTTTCTAACATTTGACCTGTAAATGAGACCCTGACCTTGGGGGTAGCAATTCAATTATTGCTCTCTGCACATCATCTCATTATGGTGATCACTTGTGCCAAGTTATTTTTTTAAAAATTCAGCGGTTTAAAAGTTATGGAGCGGACATGAAAGTGTAAGAGACAGATGGACCAACAGACAGACTGAGACAGAGGCTATTCCTATAATCCCCTTCTGCTATGCTGAAAGGGATTAAAAAGTCAAGCAATGAAATCATGTACAAATGTTAAATATACCTCCTAATTACTGCCTGTGACAGCAGATAAATTTAGACAGTGACATTTTCATAACACCAAAATAGTAACTTTTGTATGCAATTTTGATATATACATGTATATGTTGTCACATCTGACCTTGAGGTATAACCTTGAGCTTCGACCTAGTCAAACAGTTCTTGTGTGTGAACATGCTGTCTTATGATGTTGAACATTTGTGTCAGGTTATTTGGAATTCCACCAGCTAGTGATAGAGTTCTGGTGCGGACATTCTGTTTGAGACCATTTTTTTGCATTTGACCTTAAAGTAAGACCTTGACCAAGCCACTTAGTTTTAGGTCATGCTGTCTCATTAATATGAACATTTGTGCTAAGTTATTTGAAATTCTGCGTACTAATGACAAGAGTAACGACGCAAACAAGCATAAATGGACGGTAGTAAGACCTTGACCTTTGACCTAACCACACAATTCTGCACGTGATACGCCATCTCATGCCAGGTTATTTGAAATTCCACCAGCTAGTGATAGAGTTATGGTACGAACAAGCTGTTTGTTACAATTTGTTTTGAATTTGACCTTAAAGTATGACCTTGACCAAGCTATACAGTTCTTGCGCACAACATGCCATCTCATTAATTATAAATTTACAACCTGGACAGGCATAATCCTGACGGACATACACCAAGCCGCCATTGTGACAACTATGTTGAGCTCTCCACAAGCGAGCTCGACAAAAGGTGAGCATTTGAAGCCATTGTGTACCTCTAGCAATTTTTGTCCTTTATAGTGTTAATTTATTTAGGAAGTGATGAGATGTAGCAAAGTATGGAGTTCAGATGTGCAGTAATATAATCATTAATATAATATCTCTAATATGCCTAAATGATAAATTTAATGGTACCACGGTTTCCAACAGTTTGTTCACCATGTCCACCACTGGTTTTGCTCCAGACTTCTTGCCTAAAGCAGTTTGCAAAGTCACCCATGCAGATTCTAACTCTTCAGGCCCAATACTGGAGTCAGCAGCGTGCTTCGTACTACCTGTATCTACTTGCTTTGCAATGGAAGATGTATCAGAACTTCCAGTAATGTCTGAAACTGTTGATGCTATGCAAGAGCTCTGTTCCTGTGTTGTGAAAATTATTGGATGCAGGTTTGCACCAGCAGAGTGAGCCTTATCACCATGTGATGTATCTCCAGAAATTTCAACTGGCAGGAATAATTCCTGTAAATGTATCAATCTTTCATGCAAAGTTTGTTCATTAATTATCCTAGATTAACCATTAACCTGCTGAATTTGTAAAAATGGATTTGCCTGCTATTATTTGGAAAATCTGTCTAAAGGTTTTGAGATCTCATATCAAAATCCCAAAATTGAAACAGCTAACAGTGCCTGTTAGACTGCATGGACATGCAGGTTGGCCTTGCTAAATACTAGGCAAAGACAAATGAGTGTTGAGTATGAGTTCAAGCAGGTTGCAGGAAACTATCATTAACCATGGAACTTATAAAAATATGCACAACCTAACACATTTACATGCTTAGTACAATACTGATAATAAATCTCATTTAAAAAATCCAAAGTCTAACCTTGAAAATATTCCTACTATACATACATATGTACATAATTTAAAATAAACTTTCAAATTTTCCTACAAAAGTAATCATGTTTGTATTACCTTGTCCAAATGACTTGTTGAGTCAATACCAGAATCTTCCATTCTCTCTGAAATTTTAAGTAAGTTTCTCATAATGGTACTGTTGAAAAATTCAACTTTTAAACTTTTAAATTTTTAGCTTGACTGTTTCAAAGAAGTGGAGCTATCATGATGACTGTGTTGTCATTGTCATCCAAAAATCTTTAATGTGGCCCATTTTAAAAGATAATTTAGAAATCGGATGAAATTAAAAGAAAAACAATAAATTAGCATTATTTGCCAAATATGTGCATTAGCATCAACATAACTGTATTTTCAAACAAGAGCCACCACCGGATGGGGGCAACCCTTTACTTGTATTACTTTTTCTAAATGGTTTTTAACAATCTATAACAAGGGCAACATTGTCGCAAAATATGCCCATCACAAAAGCTTTTGACAGAGATTCAGCATTATAGACAAGAGCCGGTTGAACCGGGTGATGCTCCCCAAATAGGTTTTGGACACAGGAAGGTATATCTCTTGTTGTGTCAGAGTTATGTCACAGACAAAGTTCAAAGTGTAAAATCAATCCAAATATTGAGCACGAAACATTGTCTCAATATGGTGATCAGTTTTGTGAAATAGTTGTAAAATCCGACTTCAAATAACGAAGTTAAGCGCCTGATATTATTTTGCTGCAAGGTCATGCTGTGACCTTGACCTTCAAGGTAGTGACCTAAATGTTGCTTGGACATGTAGATTCAATACGGTGATCATCTCTGTGAAATAGTTGTTAAATCCCACTTCCAGTAACAAAGTTATGGGCCGGACACGATTTTTCTGCAAGGTCATACCGGTACCTTGACCTTCAAGATAGCGACCCAAATGTTGCGCGCGACACAATGTCTCATTGTGGTGATCATTTTTGTGAAATAGTTGTAAAATCCGACTTAAAATAATGAAGTTATGTGCCGATCACAATTTTGCTGCAAGGTCATGCTGTGACCTTGACCTTCAAGGTAGTGAGCCAAATGTTGCCCACGACACGCCATTTAAATATGGTGATCATTTCTGTGAAATAGTTTAAAAATCTCACTTAAAATAATGAAGTTATGGGCCAGACACGATTTTGCTGCAAGGTCATGCTGTGACCTTGACCTTCAAGGTAGCGGCTTAAATGTTGTGCATGACACATCATCTTAAATATGGTGATCATTTCTGTGAAATAGTTTAAAAATCTCACTTCAAATAGCAAAGTTATGGGCCGGACATGATTTTGCTGCAAGGTCATGCTGTGAACTTGACCTTCAAGGAAGCGAGCGACACACATGTTGCGCGCGACACATCATCTCAATATGGTGATTATTTCTGTGGAATATTTTTTAAATCCGACTTCAAATAACAAAGTTATGGACCGGACACGATTTTACTGCAAAGTCATGCTGTGACCTTGACCTTCAAGGTAGCGACCCAAATGTTGCGCAGGACATGTCGTCTCAATATGGTGATCATTTCTGTGAAATATTTTTAAAATCTAACTTCAAATATCAAAGTTATGGACCGGACACGATTTTGCTGCAAGGTCATGCTGTGACCTTGACCTTCAAGGTAGCGATCCAAATGTTGCGTGCGACACGTCGTCACAACATGGCGATCATTTCTGTGAAATAGTTGTAAAATCCGACTTCAAATAATGAAGTTATGGACCGGACAAGAATTTGGGACCTACGTACGGACGTACTGACGGACGGACGGACGGAAAACCTGACGACTATATGCTCCCCCGATATTTTTCGGGGAGCATAATAAGCATATACGAAATATGCTCTGGGCAATATCTAGTGACCTTGACCTTGCAAATATTAACCTAAATTACATGTATCACACTAAGTAGTCATGATAGTTGTCATTTGTGTTATAATCCATCAATAAATGATGACTAAATGGTCCCCGTTCACAATCTTTGACCTCTATATATGACCTTGACTTTGGTAGCAGGGACCTTGATTATGTGCACAATGAACCTCACAATTTGTGCCAAATTACATTAAAATTTCCTGATGAATGTAGAGGTTCAGCTCTGAACAAGCATTTTTCAATGACCTCTAAGTGTGACCTTTACCTTTAACAAAGAGACCTGGTTCATGCATGTGACACTGCTTCTCATAGTGGTGAACAATTCTATGAAGTTTCATTGGAATCCCACCATGCTTGGAGAAGATAATTATGCTCTGGACAAAATTTCTATTTTGTCATCTTTAGTGACCTTGACCTTGCCTTAACCTAAATTACATGTTTCACACCATTAGTTATGATATAGAGGATATTTGTTTAGTTCAGTGTAAGATCGGAATATATTTCACCGAGTGAGCACCAAAAGGTATATTTCACGAGTGGCGCAGCTAGAGTCAAATATTAACTTTTGGTGTTCACAAGGTGAAATATATTTCGATCTTACACTAAACTAAACAAATTTTCTTTTTATTATATGCAAAGAAACATTTAAAAAGACATTAAACCTAATACTGAATGAAAAGCGCGCCAAATAATAATACAACGTGACGTCATTTACGACGTCACATCTTTAAGTTGGTACTCAGTACTGTGCACGCAGGTATTTCACTGAAACAACATAAGGGGCTTAAAGTCAAAACAGTGAAATTATCAAAGTAGTAATTTCATTGTTCAAACAGTGAAATTACCAGTTTTATATCACTGATATATTTCTATAAACCACCGAAAAACATTAAATTAATGGATGTATGGAAGTGTTCAATAATGGAACTAGAAATGTGTCCATAGGACATGGGTGCCCCCACACTCCACTGTTTTGTCAATCTTATGACTCTAGGTCAGTTGAAAGAGTTGAAAAATTAAGTCTGTAAAATAACAAAGGGCAATAACTCAAAAATTATGAATGGTAGTTGTCATTCTTGTGCACTGCACTTCTCCTCAATGAGATCTATCCACCACAAGTTGATACCTCTAACACTTTTTGAGATAAGCTCCGGACAAAAAGTAAATGAGTAAAGGGAAATAACTGAAAAATTAAGCAGGGTAGAGTTATTATTCTTGTGCACTGCACTCCTCCTCAATATGATCAAAATGTCGGACAGAAGGACAGATGGATGGACGGACAAAAGGAAGGTATGACAGACGTCGACTATTTCTATATACACCCCCTCCTTTCGGCAGGGGATAATAAAAGATCAGAGTAGGAATCTATAAATGCAGTTGAGTGTAGTGAATTTGGTGGTGAAAGTCATATTTCACATGGCCTAAATTTCATGACTGTACATCAAAGGACTGTAGCTATCTCCAATTCATAAAACATTTGTTTTAGTTTCTGTTTTTAATATGTGTACATAATGAAAATCAATGCCCCCGGGCAGGGCCAATTTTGCCACCAGGGGCAAAATTTGAACAACTTTGGTATAGGACATATAGATATTATCTTATAGCAAACATCAAAGCTCTGAGCCTTGTACCTTCAGACAAGAAGATCTTTTATTTTTTTACTATAATTATTATGTACATAGAGAAAATCAATGATCCCTGGGGCGGGGCCAACTTTGATCCCAGGGCTATAACAATCTTGGTAGAAGTTCACTACAAAAAGGGTTATGCCAAATATCTAACCTCTGGCATTTGTCAATTCAGAGAAGATTTTTTAAAGTTTTTATCCTATACATATAAGGAAAACTATAGCCTCTGGGGCAGGGCAATTTTAACACTAGGGGCATAATCTTAACAACTTTGGTAGAGGACCCATAAATGATATTTTATACCAAATATCAAAGCTCTAATCCTTGTACCTTCAGAAAAGAAGATTTTCTAATTTTTTACCATATGTACATATAGTGAAAATCATGACCCCTGGGCGGGGCCAATTTTGACCCCAGGGTTAAAATTTGAACAATCTTGCTAGAGGTTCTCTACACAATGTTTCATGCAAAATATCTAACCTCTAGCATTTGTCTATTTAGGAAGATGATGTTTTAAGTTTATTATATATATATAAAAATATATATATATATATATATATATATAAGCAACACCTATGACCCCAGACGGGGCTTATTTTGATACTGGAGGCAAAATTTGAACAACAAATTAGAGGTTACTAAGCCAGTGCATTGCTAAGTTATTCTAATTACAAAGTTAAGTATTCTACATGCTTCAAATGTGAATATGTCAAAATCAATACACTGTGGAAAGACATTCTTAAGCATCTGAGCAGACAAGCTTATTATAGTAAAAATCCATGTGACATTGACCTTTGACACGGTCACCTAAAAATCAATAGGGGTCATCTACTAAAACAACCTAAATACCAAATATGAAGACTGTTGACCAAAGCATTCTTAAGCAATTGAGCGGACAAGCTTTTTTAAATCAAGGCCCCTGTGACCTTGACCTTTGACCCAGTGACCTCAAAATCAATAGGGATCATCTACTAATCATGACCAATCTAAATACCAAATATGAAGACTGGGTCAAAGGAATCTTAAAGGAATAAGAATGGATGGATTGATGTCTATCTAATATAAATATTCATCATTTAAAAAGAGGAACCATGACAGTTTTCCTATTGACATCAACCCTGTAAGAGAGAAATTCGTGTTTAAAGACACTATTTTTTACTTGAGATATAAGTTCATGGGCGCCGCCATTTTGGCTTTCTGTCATTCTCGCGAGACAGACGAGACCGAGATTGTGACGTGTTATACCCACTTCCGGTATAGGTGTACATGCTGGTACAACTGAAATATATCTTGATGAAGAACTTATTAATTTTATTGCGTACATTATATATTATTTATGAAAACATCATATGGAACTGAATTGCTTTAATTAATTAATTGAAGACGCCGCGACATTAATTATCATTTGTTCGATATTCAAGCTTGCTGACGATCCTACCACATGTTTTAAGCAATGATCTAGACTGCTTAATTTTCAAAGATAAACCATAAATTTACTTTTACGCGATTTTCCGCCATTGACGCCAAAAATGAGAAAGGCGCAGGAAAATTGGCAGCCAGACTTATATCGTATGAAAACAAAACTGTCCGTAAAGT